TTTTTTTTTTCTGGTATTGTTATAGACTCTTGTTGGGTCACCATAACTGGTTATTATTTCGAACAGTTTGAGTAGGTCGCTGAAAAGGTCTGCTGTGGAAGCTTTGTTGATTAATCTTATCCAGTGAACCCTTTCATTCCCAGTTCTCGTCATTAATTCTCTTAACTTCCAACAAAAAAATTCTTATGATGTTATTTCGGGGAATTTGGTATCGGAAAAATTGATAATTAACAATTATTCCACAAGCGCGCGTTGGATATGAGATGATAGATAGCCAACGAGGCGCGTAGCGCCGAGTTGGCTATAATCATCTCATATCCAACAAGCGAGAGTGGAATAATTGTTTTATTAAAAAAACGCCCCCAAGATATTAGACAAATCTTCTCGACTTTATTTTGGGAGAAGAAACCGGATTTAACAATGAACAGAAATTAGATTATGGTATATTGGCTCATATACCATAATGGCTTAGCCAATAAAACGTCTTGATACGATCAATACATGAAGTTCATATATTCAAAAAGTATTGAATTGCATTATCCAATGATCCAGTTTTTAATAATAAGATATATATATTCGGAGAGCGAGCTTTCGACGTTATCCACTGTTTTAGTATATATTAGTAACTCTTTGGGGAAAAGGGATCAGGTGAATTTTTTCTCCTATACATCCCAGCGTACGCCATTCGTGCCATATCCCTTCTCGTTCTGTCGTTTACGAGTTACTTCACTACTTACTTCCTGGAATTTGTTTACGACATCACGAGTCTTCACACGTACCCGCGCTTCCTTTGCTGGTATCTGTTACATATTAAAACCGTCAGATTAATTGGGAGGCTAAGATTAGAAACGTTCTGAAAAGAAAAAAAAAACAGATTAAATAAAAAATTTGGTATAAATCTGAGTATACGGGGTCGGATGGTAGCGTCCGAATAACACGGGAGCGTCTGAAAAGAGGCGATAGCTTCAGAAATCGGTTGATAGTGATAGCGTCCAAAATTGAACGGCAGCGTCCAAACTTGGACAGAGGTGTCTAAATCAGAGGATAGTGTCTAAAACCGGACGAAGGCATCCGAAATTAGATAAGACGTTTCGTAATCGATCGGACAATAGCATCCGAAAGTTGATGAAAACATTCGTAAATATGATAGCACGCGTCTGAAGCATTATGGGCATTTGAAGTCGTGCATTGTGGGTATCACTGAACCATTATGGCGGCTATTCATGAAGTCGCGCCTGACGCCTTGCCGTATTACGATCAGGGATATGATGACCCAGGAGTAAGAGAAATGGTTAGTTATGTAGCGTCTTCGAATTTTTTTTTTGTTTATCTATCCAAAGTTTAGCTTGGGCCTTTTGTTGTTCTACGATCAAATTCGCAACCATTAACGTGAAAGGAAGGCAAGGCGCGTAGCATGCAGTGATATGTTCATCTTCTCAGTTAAATCAAGGTCAGATTTTAGACAATTCACCTCACATTATAAGTTCAAGAGGAGCTTCATTTAAGTTTGCTATTGTTTGGTCTTGAACGTGAGTGCCCAATAAATGTTAGCTCAAATCAGAATTTACTCCAGCAATCTTTCCCTTCAATCACCACGCTTATAATCGACGAGTGATCAGAATAAATCTAACCATTTCAGTTTGGGGATTTTAAATTGATCCAACACCAAATTCTCCAAACCAACATCCTAAGAATTGTATGGAAGATAGTTTGGAGAATAAGTAATGAGGTTCGGAAGTGAAAGGGTTTACATTATCATTGCACAAAACCATTACATATCAATGTTACCATCCTAGTCATATTCAGGAAGTTTGTTGCCAGGGACTTGGTCAAATGGGTTAGTCTGCTGCAAGTGTCCTACAGTTAAGTGGTAGAGCATCTGAGGTACTAATCAGAAGGTTGTGGGGTCAACTCCTGTTTGAAGCATTTGGAATTCTCTTTACAGACTATTATGCTTGTACTGAATAATATTAATAATAATAATTGTACTGAATAATATTATCTTTCAATATGTGAAGTTGTTAGAACTTATTAAAATTGATCTTCTCTCATTGCTCCTTCATTACAATCAGGTCAATCAGCTGGTTGAAGAAGAAACAAGACGTTACAGACCAACAAAAAATTACTTAGATTTTCTAGCTACACCAGATTATGAGGCTTTTGAGGTAGGAGAAATGAGTGGCAAATGTGATTTCACTATGAAATAGTTTGTCCTTTAGTCAAAACCTCTTTATAATCGACTGAAACTAATTTTTGTTACTCCTTCTATATCAACAGACGCCAATCTTGAAGAAGGAATATGAAAGAATTAGCAAAAGACAACCAATGGACTTGCTCAGCATGAAAAGGTGTCTATCTTAAATTAATAAGGCTGCATTCACACTTGGTACTCAAGCATGGTGCCTGAGTAGGATTCTTGATGGGCACCATGGGGAACACATCATTTCTTCAAGTGCCTACACCAGATTTACCGCCTCCCGGTTAGCTCAATTGGTAGAGCGCCGGACTGTTGTGCGGGAGATCGTGAGTTCAAATCCGGCCGGATTTAATTAATCAGGGTCTTCAATTAACTGAGAAGAAAGTGCTGCCTTTGTAATAATATCTGCAAATGGTTAGACTTTCTAGTCTTCTCGGATAGGGACGATAAATGGAGGTCCCGTCTCCTGCAGGGTTGGGGTAGGAGACGTTAATAATTATTTTCCACACACAAGATTACTGTGTGATGGATGTCCTCCCCTGGGTGGGTAAAAAAAAGGGGTTAGGTATCAATTGGAATTAAAGTTCTGTTCCCTTCTCTTGCCATTCCTGTGGCGAATGAATTAAACTAAGCTAAACTAAGCCTAAGTACAAGATCTTGACCTTGTACCTGGGCAATGAATGTGGCACTGATAGGTTGGGTGCCCGGTGTCTAAACACAGCACCATTTTGTACAGCGCTAACGCTTGGGTACCAAGTGTGAATGCAGCCCAGTATATCCATTTCTATAAAATGATTGAGATATTACATTAGCTGTCATTGGTCAGAAACTTATTTCTAACATTTATTTTTCAGATAAACCCATAGTTATTTTAGGAAATAGCCCATGTTGTTGATTGAACACTCCAAAACTTTTGTCAGTAATGCTTTAGTGACCATAACGTCATGCTATATTTTTCTTTGTTGTTAGATATGAACTTCCACAGCCTACTGCCAACCAAAAACATGATATTACATCTTGGACAGAAGCTGTGGAAAATTCCATGGCTCAACTTGAGCATCAAGCTGAAAGGTAATATTATTATGTTATTGCAGTACTGTATGACTTCTTCAGTGATTTATGTGCATTACATTGATCTTTCCTGCCTTCACTGTTTTTAATATAATTTTTTATACCATGAACTGGCCACATTTTTTGTTTCTCTCTAAACAGATTTAATAAATGTGGTGATGAAGATGATTACAAATTTT